CCTCCTCCTCCTCCTCCTCCTCCTCCTCCTCCTCCTCCTCCTCCTCCTCCCTCCTCCTCCTCTCCTCCTCCTCCTCCCTCCTCCTCCTCCTCCTCCTCCTCCTCCTCCTCCTCCTCCTCCTCCTCCTCCTCCTCCTCCTCCTCCTCCTCCTCCTCCTTGCAGCTTCGTATTAGCCGCCAGAGTATCAGGCAAGCGCCCGCGTGGACCACCTTGAAGACAGCACGGCATCGGTCCCATGCCTACCCATACCGGCCTCGGAGACGACTAGAACCTCAGCGCACTGGATTCGATTGTGTATACATATATGTGTGTTAGCCAGCGTTGACCCCAAACAGCGTGTGTATAGCAATACATGGTGCGCAGCATATGTGGCGCAATCTATGGTGTGCTATACATGTGGTGCCGTCGATGTGGTACAATAGATGTTGTGCAACACATGTGGTGCAATATGTGTGGTTTGATATATAGTTTACAATAGATGCTCTGCAAAATAGACGGTGTACTGTATGTGGTGCACTCTCAGTTGGTGCAGTCTGTGTGGTGTAATCCATGTTGTGCAATCTACGTTGGGCAATTAATGTTGTGCACTCTATGCTGTGCAATCTGTGCGGTGCAGTCCACGTGGTGCAATCCATGCGGTGCAGTGTATGTTGCGCAATCTACGTGGTGCAATCACTGGGTGGCGATGAGGCGGCGACGGCGAGCACGGAACCGCCAGACCGCCAGCCAGGCCCAGACGACGGGCGGCGACGGGGCGGCGACGGCGAGCACGGAGCCGCCAGACCGCCAGCCCGGCCCAGACGGCGGGCGGCGACGATGCGGCGACGGCGAGCACGGAGCCGCCACACCGCTAGCCAGGCCCAGATCCTCAGGAAAGGAGCAAGACCCCTGAGTGAAAGCAGTTTTTGGGGACTACATATATATATATACAGTAAAGGAGACCTCCGCGTCGATTCGATCAATACGCAGACCCTGGAGAACTTGGCCCCTTACCCAGGGCTGGGTTTTTTATTTGGACCGTGGCCCAGAAATTGACCACGGTGGCCAAAAACGGTTGTAAACATGCGGCATCGACAAAATCACGACGTCGGAGATTGGGCATCCTCCATCCATTCTCCCCGACTTCCTCGTCCTCCGCGGAGCAGGAGTCCTCCTCCGCCCATCCGTTTCCATGATGGGTAATTCCGTCCTGTCGCATCGCATCACCAGACGTCCCAGTAGGACGTGTTGGGCGTTTCGCCAAAGATTGTCTCATCATGGTTGATCTTGAAGCTTGACGCTTCTTAACATTTGCAAGGGTGGGGTATTATGCCTTTTTTCTGATGGGGGGCTCTCGCAGTAGCGCCGCGAACATGTGTCACAACTGCCCGCAGCATTTACAAACATGGAGGGCGGCTTCTGTTCAAAATGTGTCTCTCGCCTTAATTCGGCGGCGAGTGAGCGGGGGGAAGTGAGAAGGAGAAGACCTTCTCAGAAGGCTCGGAAGTCCCCCGGTCTTCTGAGAAGCTTTCTACGCCTTCTCCGAAGACCAAAAAAAATTCAGAAGGCGCGAGGGCTTCTGAGAAGTCCCCCCGCCTTCCAAAAGGGCTTTCTCCTTCTCACTTCCCCCCCTCGCTCGCCGCCGATTAACGCCGCGCACAGTCGTCGCTCGCAAACGCTTGGCAACAGTTGCGAGGATGGAGAGCGGCTGATTTTCAAAATGGGCTTCTAGCCTCAGTTCCGCGCACAGTCGTCTTAGCTAGCCACAGAGACAAGGATGGAAGACGGTGTCTGGTCATCAAGGTATTGGGCTGATGTGTGGAAATCTCTTCGACTGAACGACCAGGGCTGGACCTAAACGGTGTTTTCTTGTTCTGGATGTCGGCTGTGATTTGTTGTTCGTGCTGGCAGGGAGGTACAGGACAACAGATAGAGCAAAACGAAAACACAGCGAAAAGCATCGTTTGGGGCCTGCCCTGTTAGCGACAAGAAGCTGGAACACCTACGAGAGTGGCACGGGCGGAGGGCGGTGCCTGTTCAAGATGGTGCTGCGAGTTGCCCTAAACGTTGACAGACCAGAGGGGCGACGTTGCGCATCAGCTCATCATACTTTTTGTTCAGCGGCTCGAAGGACAGATCCAGCGAGCGGGAATAACGTTCTGGGGCACAGAGCGAGATAATTGGCTGCAGTGGCACGTAGGCCGCTGTAGCGAGTGCACGGCAAAGGGGCGAGAGGCCAGAAGATTACCCTCATCAGCTCATCATACGGGCAGGTGGCAGTTCTTTCCCAAGTGGGTTAGTCGCTGGACACCTCGCTGAATGTTGAAAATCATCACCTTGTCGCGTGTTCGATGGTTCGTGAGAAGTGTGCAGGGCAGTTCTTTCCCAAATTGAGTAGTCGCTGGGCACCTCGTTGAATTTCACAACCTCGCCTCGTCACGGGTTCGATGGTTCGTTTGAGGGGTGCAGGGCAATTCTTTTGGATTAATCGCTGGACACCTCGTTGATTGTTAAAACCTCACCTTGTCGCGTGTTCGATAGTTCGTTAGACGGGTGCAAGGCAGTTATTTCCCAAATGTGTTAGTCGCTGGACACCTTGTTGAAGATCAAAACCTCACCTTGTCGCGTGTTCGACACGGTGGAGGTCCATGACAAGAAACACCGTGCTTGCCTCCAGGGTGCCCTGGGCTTCTTGGGGTTCGATGGTTCTGCTGTTAAAAGCGCGACGTTCCCGCACCAAAGATTAGTGGACGTCCTGGGGTCTCGGGGCTTGTTTTCTTGTGAAAGGTTTCTTGCGGAATGGTCTCCATTGTATTTAGGGGAACGAACAATGACATCAACATAAAAGCTCGGAGGTCCGCGCGGATTTCTTGGATCGGCGCTGGAGCCCCCTGGCAGCGCCTCTGGCGCCGCCCCTGGCGCGCCGCGCACCTCCGAGTTTTTATGTTTATGTCATTGCTTGTTCCCCGAATATCGAACGACCTCTATTGTCGGACTTCGGAATTCGCTCAAGGTAGACCAATATACACGCTGTCAGAAGCCAGTTTCGTCGTCGTCCAGGCAGGAGCGAGCCTTACCGTACCTCAGCGCCGGCCTCGCATTTGCTACACGGCGTGGGCCCCATAAGGTTTCTTGAGGATTGGCCTCCACTGTAGTTCGTGAGAAGGGCTCTTGTGGAAGATTTGTTGTGGAAATTTTCTCGTGGACTGGCCTCCACTGTAGCACTGTAGTTCGTTTGGAGGGTTCTTGTGGAAGGTTTCTTGTGGAAGGTTTCTCGTGGACTGGTATCCACTGTGGTTCGCTAGAGGGGTGCAGGGCAGCTCTTTCAAACAAACAAGCAAAAATGCGCTCTCGCCCCCACACTGCAGGCCCACGGGATGCTCATCGTGTCTCAGGGGGGGGGCTGATTCTTGCAGGTTCCCCCCCCCCCTCCCAAAGTATCCTCCTCCTCCTCCTCCTCCTCCTCCTCCTCCCCCTCCTCCTCCTCCTCCTCCTCCTCCTCCTCATCCTCCTCCCCTCCTCCTCCTCCTCCTCCTCCTCCTCCTCCTCCTCCTCCTCCTCCTCCTCCTCCTCCTCCTCCTCCTCCTCCTCCTCCTCCTCCTCCTCCTACTCCTCCTCCTCCTCCTCCTCCTCCTCCTCCTCCTCCTCTTTTTTAACCGTCGACGCCGCCTCGAAACGACAGGGATCGTCAGGAAGAGCACGAACAACTCGATGCCGCTGCCGAAGACCGTAGCTGGAGAAGGCTCACCAGCAACGAGATGAAAACTGAGAAAAGATCAGAACAGGCCCACGTACCGCTCGCCACTCTTCTCGCCTGGAAAAGTAAATAAGCGGCCCTCGCCAGGATCAGGAGGGAGACCACGAGGGCACCACGCACCAGGAACAGGGCCTCCGTGCAGAACCTCCACTGGATCGAAAGGGCCGACCCCCTCAGGACGGGAGGAAGGCGATGCCCCCAACTGCGTGCCGAACTCGAAGACAGGCGGCATGTCCCCAACCTGGGACAGCACTTCGGGCACGTCGCCCTCCCCCTCAGAGCCGTCCACTGTGGAGGGGGGTACCCCATCAGTGGGAAACTGCGCCAGCGCCGCTCCGACCGCCCTGCCGCCGACCTCCGCGTCGAAGATCGACTCCGTGGGCTCTGCAAGCGGCTCGGAGCTCGGCTCGATCAGCGAAGCCAAGCGCTGGCCAGCAAGGAGACCATCCCCAAAGGCGCCAGCCAGGGCCTCCAAAGGAGGCAGCCACACGCCAGGAGCAGGCGCCGTGGGAAAGTGATCACCTGCAGCATGACCATGGAGAAGGGCGCCGACGTCGTCAGGAGCCGCAGTGCACGACCCCATCTGGGCCCCCAAGCGAGGGCCAGCCGCCGCCACCGAGATGTCGCCGTCGGACGCGTGCTCGAAGCCGACCGACGGGGCAACTGCGGCGTGCCACGCGGCGTTCCTGCGCCTGCGGGCCCTGCCAGCAACCGGAAGGCCAGCTGCCGCCCGCTGGAGCGCTGGCCGTGACGCACGCTCCCGGTCCTGCCACGAACCCGGAGAGAACCCTGCACCGCCACCATCCAGCAGACGAAGCATTTGGTCGTATTCCAAAGTCTTGAACCTCAGCTGCTCCTCGAGGCGCCCGACGCTCGCGAGGGCTGCCGCCAGCCCAGCGTCGGCCGCCGCCAACGCCCGCCTGCGAGCTGCAGAACGAGCCGCACGAGAACGACGAGCAGGAGGAGCGAACCCGGAATCGCCGCAACGGGGCGACTCCGCCCGTGCCATCCCAAGCGGGCCCGCGCGCGCGGAAACCGGGCGGAACAATCCTCCTCCTCCTCCTCCTCCTCCTCCTCCTCCTCCTCCTCCTCCTCCTCCTCCTTTCCTCTTCCTCCCCCCCCCCCTCTCCCTCGTCCTCCTCGTTCTCCTCCTCCCACTCCCCCTCCTCCCCCTCGCCCTCACCCTACTCCCCCTGCTCCTCTCCGCAGAAGGACCCTAGACAACAGGTGCCCTCTGCGCACCCTCCTCGGACCCCCCCCACAGGCTCTGGCCAAGGTCATGGACCCGCGCTGGATACCGCAGGAGCTCGGGGGCACCTGCCGGCTCGGGGCGCACCGCTTCTGCGCCCCGGTGGCCGCGGGGGGCGGGGGGAGCGGGAGGGGGCAGCCGGGCAGAGGCAGACCCTACAGCAGTTGGGAAGAACGATTTGGTGGTTGGTGGTGCGATGGTGGCTTCTGCCGAGACGCTGAAAGAAGGACCGCTTTGGGTTCGGAAGGGGCTCACTGATCCTTCGGCCGCTCCTTGATTGCTCCTCCCAGCCCTCCGCGTGCACCCGGACTCTTTGGGTGCCGATAGGGGCTTCGTTCCCAATTTGGCGTTCTTGATTCCAGCAGCTTGGCTGGACGAATGCCTGTCTGCGCAGTTCCATGCTACCCAAAGAGGCTTAGCCACCAGCTCGCAATCTGCACGGTGGTTGCCGGGGGTTCCAGGCGGTCCGCGCAGGACGCCCGCCCCGCCGACCACCGCGTGGGAATACGAAACGGTAAGGGACCCGCCGGTGGGCCGTCCTCGCGTTCGCGCATCCCTCGCTTTCTCGCGTGCCTCCCCCTCTCAAGCTGGGCGAGGGCTGGCAAATCGGTGGTTGCTACAACGGTCCCCCCGGAAGGAAAAAAAAAGTTCCCGGAATAAAACTCAGCGCGCCAAATGGTAAACGGGTTGCTTCCCGGAAGAAAGAGCAGATTCCGGGAGCTCCGTTGTAGCAGCCACGGGTTTGCCAGCCTTCGCCTGGCTTCTGACCCTCACGCTCGCGCTTCCTCCTCGCGCCCTCCTCGCGCTCGCGCTTCCTCGGGCCCCGCGTCCCCCCCGCGGGGCTCCCGAGAACGGAGGGTCCCCCCCCCCCCTCGTCTTCCGGCCAGCTGGCCCGGGCTTGGGCGCAGGGCCTTGCAGGATCCTTCGCACTGACCTGGGTCTGGATCGACCTGGGTCAGAAGATCCCCCCGACACCACGCGGCAATTCGGGCTCACAGTTTGATCAGTTGAGGCGTTGGCGACTTCTGCCGTCCCTCGATTCGCGCTGGAGCCGCCACGTTTTTTGCTCCAAATGTCCACGGAGAGCTCCGGATTTACCTGAGCGTACCTCGGTTTCTTATTGTGTGTCGACATATACGTTGCTTTATTCGGCTTGGTCCTCACAAGTCAATCGGAGAAAAGTCGGCAGGCCTTCATACCTTGATGCTACAAACTGTGTTTGCACTCCGCTTCAGCCACCGACGCCCCAGCCACCATTCCAGAAAATCGAGAGCACTTCGGGCCGACCTTACGGGGTTGGCTTAGATGGGGTCGGAGGATCGTGCCGCGTCGCCAGTGTATCGAAGATGCGGCTCGATCTGGAGCCCGATGTCATCTATGCCGATGTCGCCGACGTATGGGCGATGCGGTGCGATCTTCCGACCACATGTCCTCCAGCCCCACGTTGGGCGGCCTACACAGGATCGAAGATCGAGTATTGAAGTTTGTTTACGTCTCTCGCTATTCTTGGACATTCGGGGGGGGCTTCTCATCGCACCCCAGGATGGGTCTGGGGGTCGAGTTCGACCTACGGAACGAGGAGGGAGGACCGACGATCTAGGATCGGATCGAAGATCGAGGACTGCGGGCTGCCATGTTTTCTGCTCCTGTTTGGGGCCTCCAGGACGCTTCTGGCCGCACCCCAGGATGGGTCTCGGGGCCAGTTCTCGGCGGCGAGCGAGGGGGGAACGGGAGGGAGAAGGCTCTCTCGGAAGGCGGCGGGGCTTCTGAGAGGGCCTCGCGCCTCCTGGGAAGCTTTCTGCGTCTTCGGGCAGGGCTGGACCTAAACGCTGTTTTGCTGGACTTCGGCTGTGTTTTGTTTTTCGGTTTGGGAGGGAGGTACAGGAAAACAGGTATAGCAAAACGAAAAGCATAACGAAACAAGAACGAAAATCAAAGTTTAGGTCCAGCCCTGTCCTCGGGGACTGAAAATTTCTTGGAAGCCCGAGGGACTTCTGAGCCTTTCGAGAAGGCCCGCCCCTTCTCGCTCCCCCCCAGGGCTCGCCGCCAAAAGAACGCTCCCAATCCCCACGTGATGTTTGTTGTTCATGACGTGGGCCCCAGCGGTCTGGACGCATTCCCCGGGACCGGTTGTTCGTCCTGGGTCGTTCTTGGGCCGCCACGTCGAAGGCTCAGCTTCGAGCCAAGAAGCTGTTTAGGCTTCCAGCCCCAGGCAGCGTGCCTTCCGACCCCGCCGATTTTTTGCCCGTGCCCCCCCCCCTCCCCGTGACCGAAGGAGGGGGCACCTCTGGAGGGGTGGCAATGTCGGTCCGACAGTTCTTGGGTCTCCACGATCCTGATGTCGGTGCTGTCATGTCGCCCCATTGGGGTATCAACGGGCTCCCATCCTCATCGCCTGCCGGCACAGCGCCTGAGCCGCCGTTGCCGCCGGCCTCTTCGTGAGCCTCTTGACGTGGGCCGCGTGGGCCGAGTTGAGTTCTTCGAAGCGCTGGCTCGCCTCGGTGATGGCATCGCGGAGCTGGACCGTGCGCTTCTCCAGCTCGGCCGCGTCGCCCTCCTGCTGCTCGCAGACGTCCTTGTCGATGCCGACAGTCTCCTCCACGCTGGCGAAGTCCAGGAAGTCGGTGTTGCCCCCCAGCAAGTCCTGGATCGAGACTTGCGAGCGAGCCTCAGCCGAAGGGGGAGGCGGTGGACACACCTGCAGCCGCAGCTGCTCCACCAGCTGCTTGTATTTGTCGACCTCCGACTGCAGCTCGGACCTGAGCTTGCCAATAGAGATCTTCTTCGCTGCCAACCAACCTTGCCAACGTGCGTACTGAGCCATCTCCGCGTGAAGCTTCTTCTCCGACTGCTTGATGGTCCCATCTGTATTCGTAGCCAGCGTCTGAAGTGGGCCAGGCTCCGAGACCGCTCGACGCTTGTCCAGGTGACCCTGATGCGCCAAGGGCACGGCCTCATTGCCAGGTTTCTTGTTGAGGACCACCAGCTGCTCGAGCTCAGCCTCGGAGAGGCTGCTGCCTCAGAAGCCAGGCTCCGGGAAATTGTTGTTTGTTTTCCGGGCAGCAGCCCAGATATTATTTTGTGCGTTGTTTTTTCTGTTTTTCCTACTCCTCCTCCTCCTTCCTCCTCCTCCTCCTCCTCCTCCTCCTCCTCCTCCTCCTCCTCCTCCTCCTCCTCCTCCTATTATGTTGTGCAGTTTTTTTTCCGGGAATATGTTCTTTCTTCCAGGAAGACCGTTTTAGCAGCCACGGATTTGCCAGCTTTCGCCCAGCTTCTGACTGTCGTCGGGGATGATTGGCCACCGCCTGGGGCACCACCGACTGGGAGCGGCTGGGTGCTGCCGCTCCAGCTGGACCACCGTGGACCGAACGCCACCGGCAGGGGGCGGTGCAGTATGAAGTCGGGCCCGTCCCTCTACAGGATAAACATTCAAAAACAGTCAAAAAATCGTCTGGGGCCAATTGTTTTCGTATTGTTTGACGATGTTTGAATATGCTTTGACTATGCCTAGGCTTTCGTCCAAAATCCGCCTGTAGGGGGGCATGCCCGACCTGAGTGTAGTAGTTTCCGCTTCCTTGCGCTTGCCCCCACACTGCTTACAGAACCAGAACCGGCTGAGGTTCTTGCCGCAGCCGCAGGACCTGCTTGTCCAAGTTGGGCCAGCACGATCGCCAGCACCGACGTAGCGCCACGAGGAGACATCCCTAATTACTCTTCTGGCGGGACGGAGCCATGGCAGGCGGACTGCGGGGAGTGAGATTGCCTCTGAATTGGCAGTCGCCCTGGGGAGACCGCACCTCAAGCGCCACGGGACGGCACGGAGGCAGGCCCAAAAATTTGGACACCAGCTGCTCGAGTGAGGAGGAGGAGGAGGAGGAGGAGGAGGAGGAGGAGGAGGCGGAAGAGGAGGAGGAGAGGAGAGAGGAGGAGAAGAGGAGGAGGAGAAGAGGAGGAAGAGGAGAGAGGAGGAAGAAAAGGAGAGGAGGAGGAGGAGGAGAGGAGGCGAGGATGAGGAGGAGGAGAGGAGGGGAGGAGAAGGAGGAGGAGAAGGAGGAGGGGGAGGAGGGGAGGGAGGAGGAGGAGGAGGAGGTGGAAGAGGAGGAGGAGCAGGAGGCGCAGCAGGAGGGCGCTGCCGCAAGGTGATCCCGGAGGGGGGCGAGGCGCCGAGGGAGCTGCTGCAGGCGATCTGCGCAGAGTTCCCGGCCCCGTGAGCGCGGCGCCCGTCGCCCGTGCCGTTGCGCACGCGCGCCCCGCCTGCTCCGCGCGGCCGCCTCCTCCTCCTCCTCCTCCTCCTCCTCCTCCTCCTCCTCCTCCTCCTCCTCCTCCTCTCCTCATCCTCCTCCTCCCCTCCTCCTCCTCCTCCTCCTCTCCTCCTCTCCTCCTCCTCCCTCCTCCTCCTCCTCCTCCTCCTCCTCCTCCTCCTCCTCCTCCTCCCTTCCTCCTCCTCCTCCCCTCCTCCTCTTCTCCTCCTCCCTCCGCCTCCGCCTCCGCCTCCTCCTCCTCCTCCTCCTCCTCCTCCTCCTCCTCTCCTCCTCGCCTCCTCCTCCTCCCTCCTCCTCTCCGCCTCCCTCCTCCGCGTCCTCCTCCTCCTCCTCCTGCTTCTCCTCCTCCTCCTCCTCCTCCTCCTCCTCCTCCTCCTCCTCCTCCCCCTCCTCCTCCTCCTCCTCCTTCCCTCCTTCCTCCTTCCCTTCCCTTCCTCCTTCCTCCTTCCTCCTCCTCCTCCTCCTCCTCCTCCTCCTCCTCCTCCTCCTCCTCCTCCTCCTCCTCCTCCGCCTCCTCCGCCTCTCCTCCGCCCTCTCCGCCTCCGCCTCCTCCTCCTCCTCCTCCTCCTCCTCCTCCTCCTCCTCCTCCTCCTCCTCCTCCTCCTCCTCCTCCTCCTCCTCTCCTCCTCCTCCTTTCGCGCGCGGGCGACTAGGGGCCGCGTGGCTCGACTCTCGCGCCCCCAGGTACGTGGCCATCCTCCTCCCCCTCCTCCTCCTCCTCCTCCCTCCTCCCTCCCTCCTCCTCCTCCTCCTCCTCCTCCTCCTCCTCCTCCTCCTCCTCCTCCTCTCCTCATCCTCATCCTCATCCTCATCCTCATCCTCATCCTCATCCTCATCTCATCCTCCTTCTCATCCTCATCCTCATCCTCATCCTCATCTCCGCATCCTCCTCTTACCTCTGCTCCTCCTCCTCCTCCTCCTCCTCCTCCTCCTCCCTCCTCCTCCTCCTCCTCCTCCTCCTCCTCCTCCTCCTCCTCCTCCTCCTCCTCCTCCTCCTCCTCCCTCCTCCCTCCTCCTCCTCCTCCTCCTCCTCCTCCTCTTCCCTCCCCTCCTCCTCATCCCTTCCTCCTCCTCCGCGCGGCCGCGCTTGGCATCGTTCGGACGTGTGCATTTCCAGTGGAGCGAACAAAGACATTAACAGAAAGACTCGGAGGCCCGCGCGGATTTCTAGGATGCGCGCTGGAGCCCCCTGGAGGCGCCTCTGGCGCCGCCCCTGGCGCGCTCCGCGCGCCAGGGAGGGGGGTCCAGCGGGGTCCAGCACGGACCTCCGAGATTTTATGTGTATGCCATTGTTTCGCCCCCCTAATTTCTTTTTGGCGAAGACCATCGAGGAGCCTGTTCGGTTCATGCAGGGGGAAAATACATACACGGAATCGGCAAGTGGACGTCCGAGAAATTGGGGAGCGGGTGCAGGACCCGTGATCCGCACCCCCCCCTCAATTACCGTCGGACCGAGGTATTAGACCGAGGTCGGTTCGGGGAGGGCGCCCTATTGTTCTTCGGTTTTGTTGGATGGGCTTGTGCTCCCCATTGAGGGCACCCTTGGGTCTTCTGTGTGTTTTAGCCAGCGGAGGGTCTCATGCTCTCGAGGGGCGCTCCTCTGGCCCAGGTCCGACCGTGCGCACACGCGCGCCCCGCCTGCTCCGCGCGGGGTCGCCTCGGGGTGCAGGACCCGTGGTCCGCCCGCTCCCCCTCTCGACCACAGTGGGCGGCCCGTGCCAAGAGTCACCCTGGTCGCCTCCGGGGTGCCCTGGGCTCTTCTTGGGTCTCGATGGCTTTACCATGGAGAGCGCGACGTTCCCGCACCAAGAATCGGTGCACGTCCTGGGGTCTCAGGGTTGGGTGTCTTGTGGCAGGTTCCTTGTGGACTGACCTCCACTGCACACTCGAGAGTGGCCCCATCACCGGAGTGACCTTTGGTGCCGGCCCACTGGGGCCCCCCGAGCGTGGAGTGCGGTGCGATGGCAGCGGCCCTGCGCGCTCGGGCGTGGCCCCCCCCGCAAGCTCCCCGGAGCCGAGCACTACGGGTCACGCTTGAAAGGGGTCACTCTCGGGTGCAGCGCACCCCCAGTGGGGCGCACTCCCCGCGCACTCACTCATTCGCTCGCTCGCTCGCTCGCTCGCTCGCGCACTCGCTCGCTCACTCGCTCACTCACTCACTCCTCCTCCTCCCACTGGGGGACCTCGTTTCCCGAGGTGGGCGGGAAGAGGGAGCCCCAGCCGATCCTTCCTGCAGCCCCGAGGAGCATCGAGGGGAGCAGGTTGGGAGATGGATTTGGGGGGGCGGGCCCTCTGTCGGTCGCAGTGGCCCCCGGCATCCTGGAGCGGCCGTGAAAGGTTTCGTTCCTGTTCGGCTCTCCCGGTTTCTCGCCGGTTCCTGCGGATCGGAGCACGCGAAGTGGGGGGGCGATAAACGGGCGGGGACAGCGAGGGCTGCCGTAGAGGAGCCCTTGAGGGCCCAGAAGGGGGCCTGTAGAGCCCGAAAAGGGCACCTTTCTTTCCCCCCCATTAATTCGCACCCGAGCGGATGAAGTCTCGAGAGACGTTATCCTCCAATCCGTCGGTCCACCAGATTTTGAAGGTCCGGACGTTCAATTCCAACGCCGTGCATTCGAAATATGCCTTGCCAACTTTGCCCTCCACCGTGTCTCCGACGGCAATCGGCTTTTTGAATCCCCACGGCTTCTTTGGGCCTTGGTGTTCGTCTCGTGGCCCTCGTAGTACAGCTGGTGGCCCTGGTAGCTCAGCTGGTGGTCCACCTAGCTGCATTGGTGGCCCCTGAGCTCTGAAAGCGCAATTTGTGGCCCTCGCAGAACACAGGTGGTCCTCGTAGCTAAGCAGGTAGCCCTCGTAACTCAGCTGGCGGATCTCGTAGCTCTGCTTGTTTCCCTCGTGGTTCGGCTTGTGGCCCTCCTCGGAGCTCAGCCTGTTGCCCTCGTCCCTCTGCAGGTCGCCCTGGTAGCTCTTGTGGTGGGTGTCCTAGCTCAGCACGCGACCTTGGTAGCTCAGCTGGTGGCCCCCGCGGCCGTCGTACCTCAGCCGGTTTCCCTCGTAGCTCATCTGGTGGCCGTAGTTATTCAGCTTGTGGCCCTCGCAGCTGGGCTGAAGGCCATGGTAGCTCAGCAAGTGGTCCGCGCAGCCCTGCCTGTGGCAGTCGTAGCTCTGCTAGTGGCCCTAGCATTAAGTCGGGCTTGTCCCTCCACAGAGGGAATATTCAAAAATAGTCAGAAAATAGTCAGGGGATGACTTTTCGATTATTTTTTACCATTTTTGAATTGTTTGGCTATTTTTTATTTGTCGTCCAAAATCGGCCTGTAGGGGGACAGGCCCGACTGAACCCTAGCAGTTCGGATGGCGGCCCTCCTAGCAGCTCTGCTTGGGGTCCTCATAGTTCCGCAGGCTGCCCTGGTAGCTCTGCTGGTGAATTTTCCTTAGCTCTGCCGGGTGGCCCTCGTGGCTCTGTTGCTGGCTCTCGTGTAGCTCTGCTGCTAGTCCTCGTAGGTGCGCTGGTGGTCCTCCTGCGTCTTCGTGTTGCCCTTCGAAGTCCTGCGCGTGGTTGTCGTAGCCCTGCGGGTGGTCCAAGTAATCAGCTCTGCCGGTCGCCCCCGAGGCTCTGCCAGAGGCCCGCGCAGTTCTGGCCCTGGCCCCCAAAATTCGGCCGCCCACGCAGCTTTTTCATCTGGCCGACACAGTTGTGCCGGTGGCCCTCGAGGAGGAGGAGGAGGAGGAGGAGGAAGGAGGAGGAGGAGCAGGAAGGAGGAGGAGGAGGAGGAGGACGAGGAGGAGGACCTCCTCATCCTCCTTTCTCCCCCATCCTGCATGTCGTGGCGCTGCTGGTGGCTCTCGTGGCTGTGCCGGTGGTCCTCGCAGCTCCGCGGAGGGGCCCTGGCCGTGGCCCGCGCAGCCCTGCTGGCGGCCATGGTGGCCCTGCCGGTGGCCCTCGCAGCGTCGCTGGTGGTCCTCTGGTGGTCCTCTTGGTGGTCCTCGTAGTTCGGCGTGTTTAAAACGACGCGAAGATCGGGACAAAATCGGATCGGGATAACTCGAAATCTCTGAGAATCGGCGGGTTTGGAGGATGTATTGGGCGCCGCGGCCGCTCCAGAGCGTTCCGGAACGCTCTGAGAGCGCTCCGGAACGCTCTGGAGCGATTTATCCCGATCCTAGCCCTGTTTTAGTGTTGACCCTCCTCGAAGGACCCCTTCGGCTGGAAGCGCGGCTCGCGATGGCACGGCGCACGGTGAGGAAGCCCCAGCGCGCTGGGGGCCTCAGGCTACCCCGTGTCGTCCTCGTCCTCGAGGCTGCATTCCACGTAAACCTCCTCTTCGTCTGCGTCCTGGGGGGTGGTGCTGCTCTGCCCCACTTCCATATCTTTCGCTGGGGCCTAGATTCGCTAGGCTTGCACCACATCCGCCGACCCTTCTATAAAATACTGCGCCTCCAGGACTGCATTTCACGAGGCTTGTCCGAATCAGGACGCGGCGCTCGACATCGTTCCTGTTGCTTCGTTGCTGTGATCGTATCTCTTGGTGCTCGTTTGTTGCCTATTGGTGGCATCTTGGCCTGTCTGCAGGCCATATCCGGCCGCCTTGAGGAAGAAGGGAAGACACGACAAACATGGAGGAGGATGAGTAGGAGGAGGAGAAGGAGGAGGAGGAGACGAGGAGACGAGGAGGAGGAGAGGAAGGGAGAGGCGGAGGAGGACGACGAGGAAGAGGAGGAGAAGGAGGAGGAGGAGGAGGAGGGGGACACAAAGGAGCGGGAGGAGGAAAAGGAGGGGAAGGAAGAGGAGGGGGAGATCGGAGTGTTGAAACACGCTCCACGCCAGTCCTCTGGCACGTTCGCCCCAGGAGCGTGGTAGGGAGGTCCCCTGCCGGGTTGAATTCAGCACCACCGACGGTTTTTTGCAACGCTGTGTTCCGTATGCCCCACCAGCGGTGCAAATGCCTCAACATGTATTCCGTTCTGGACACGCCCAAGTAGTCCATGAGTTGTTTTGCGCGCCACCGTTGGCACCAACCCGAGGGATTGTTGCCCCTACCGCCCGTG